CTTACAAACTTTCTATTTTCCCACTTCCCAGAAACAACCCAGTAAACAGTGTGGCGTTATCTGACCTCTGGCTAGACAAAGAAGGAAAACTTCCAGGAGGGAGAGGTCAAACATTTACTCTCTATCTTATGATTTGTTTCTCCAGTACCCCACTCCCAAGGTACCATAAACTGTCTCAATATAATTTAAGATTGTATATTTATCTGTATATGATTTAACATTTCATTTCTCATTATATATCTAATTATCTTTATGATTTAACATTTCATTTCTTGTTATATATTAATTACCTTTATAAATAAATATATTATATTATCAAGAATTTGGTTTTATCTCTCTAGAGAACCCTGTCTAACACATTTGAAAATGCCCAACAACCCTTGCATGACTTTGGGAAAGGCAGATTTATGATGGTGAGGATATTCTTCACGGACAGGTGCCAACAGCCAACACTGGCCTTGGCCTCCACAGGAGTAGCAAGTATCATGGCAACATGATCAACGAGGTACAAATGCTCCACGTTCACAGAAGCGTCTCCTGCAGCGACAGACAGAGGTGACAGTGGCCCCTGCTATGGCAAAGGCTCAAGCTGAAATTCTCCTGTGGCCCACAGAGCGAATTCCCAAGCTAACTGTTCTTCTCCTCATCCCAACCACTCCTGGAAAAAGAGCTAAAACCTACAGATAATGACTTGGTTCCAACACATAGTGACCCTAGACATTGGTTTCCAGGGCTAGAAATATTTACTGGAACAGCCTCATGTTTCTCCCCAAGGTGAGTTTGAAAAGCCAACCTTGTGTTCAACAGTTCAAAAATGTCATCGGGTAAGCAAAAGCATTTCAAGTCTCTATATTCTAGATTGATATGGGGCGAGGAAATAAAACACTATTTTATGAGCCAACCAAATGCCATTCATATGCTCATGGTTGTGCATAGATTTTGCCCATAGAGGTGCAAAATATCATTAACACTGGAGACATCATCATCACAGCCCTTCTCTCATAAAAAATACAGTCATCAAGTCAATTTCAACCCATAGCAACCCTTATATACAGTGTCAGAGATGGCAAATCCTTATGGGATCACCGGATAAGACTCTTCTTTCTCCCAAAGAGGGGTTTGTAGTTTAAAGGTCCAATTTTGGCTTACTGGACAGCTCCACCAAGGCCTCAAGCATATCATTACTCTAGTAGGCTAGGCAAATTACACTCACACATGTTCACTCCACCATCACCTACATGGTATGAGTACAAGCCCCTCACCCCTGGACTTGACTCTGGGCATATGACTGCCTTTGGCTAATAGGATGTAGACAAAACAAACAAGTATACTAGTTCCGAACCTAGACCCCAAGAGCCTGTGTTTTTCTATTTGCACTTTGCACTCTTCATAAGGACCAGATCTCTTACCCAGCTGCTGCTGCTTCAGCTTGCACCCCCAAATATATAGATATCAAACAAAATCACCTCACTTGACCTGCAGACCTCTGAACGTATAAGTGTTTTAAGCCATTAGGTTTGTGGTTTATCATATATATTATTTTGTGGACAGTTGACTGATAAAACCCTCTGTTTGCTCCAGAAGTGCGGCCCTTGAGTACTTACCATCATCGATTCCCGGCCAGCCCATGAAGTGAGCAGAAATCTGTTTCTCATCCTTCCCATATTCGTTCTTGGCCATCAGAGTGTAGTCCCCATTGTTCATGTGCGTGGGGTTATCCAGCTGCAGGCAGCCATGGTACTCCGTGTGGTTGGTCACGTGTATTTTAGTACAGATGTATTTGGACTCATTCAATATTGCCCCGTTATAGAACCACTGAAGTGCTGGCTTCGGGTTGCCTTTCACAGTGAATGGAATGCACCAGTGGTGGTCTGAGGTTGGAGATTCGAGAAATGTGATAGTTGGAGCAACTAAATTGAAAAAGAGAGAGTTAATAGCATCAGAACTCTCAGAATTCTCTGTCTCCAGATTTCTACATCATCCATAGGGCATTTTACTCAAAGACTGGTTGAGTTAGGAAAGCCCATGGCCAGCAACTCTGGAGCCCATCAATATTTTGTACCACAACTATGGTTGATTTAACTGCCATAAGGGAGCCTCAGGGAGATTCTTTGCTCACTTAACCTCAACCCACACATCACTCACTGTTGTCTTTCAAATCTATTCAGCTCAAGTGAGAACAACTCCATCAAAAAAGATCCAAGAAATTTCTGAGTGTGAAGGATTCAATTGAAGTTAGCTGCATATATATATATATATATATATATATATGTAATCTGATTTATATACATACAATCATATTACATAGACTTTGTACCAAAACAAGGAGGGACACTATTATTATAGTACCTCTTATCAAAATAATGTTAATAACAATAAAAAGGACTTGGAAAAACCTTTTTAAAGCCCTAATTTAACTTGTATGAAACAGAACAAACTTATCAAGGTAAGGAATATTACTACTGATACAAATTATTATTAAATATGACAGACTGACATTTTTCACCTATTGTCAACAGTAAATACTCTTTTAAATACCATATCTTTCTAAAGGTCCATTTGTGCTGGGATTCTATATGAAAAAGATCAAGATTTTGATCACTTTGATGCCTTGGGTCCTATCTAAGCCTGGACAAACTAAAATGTATTTCAAATGTATGCACTGGGTTAACCTATGTTATCAATATATGTAAACAGTAATATATTTAGACAAAGTACTCATTCTGGATGAAAATATTTAGAATTTATAATAATTATTCATTTTAATGCAGTCTTCCTTGGATAATTATAGAGCCAAGAATTGAAAAACCTTTGAGATCTAATATCATCAATTGTCAGAAGAAAGAGCCAAAGTCCGGTGACATTCATGACCTCATCAAGGTTACTGAGTTGGCAGAGCTTCTTTTAAGGACTGATTCATGGACCTCCTCATCAGACTTGGCTTTGTTCATCTAACATGGAGGGAGAGGAAAGAAGCCACAGCAGCCTGCTAACATAGGCACACTTTTGAGTGAGGCTACTATAGTGGTTCTCTAAGTTATTAATATTCTTTACCATGCATTCCTTCTATTCTTTGTCTAAACTCTGATAAAGGCCCAACCTTCAGGTCATTGTAATTTCATAGATATAACTTTAAGGAAAAAGCTTGAGTCTAAATATCCTTTTTAGAAAGCTGAGAATCTGTCACTACATTCTTAGTTCTGCTCAAGAATATTCTCCATAATACTGCCCAAAAAGAAGCAGTGCTGAAAGAGCCTGATTCATCTTCATAATCTATGGAGAGATTTCTAGTAACAAGCAAAATCATTAATAATTTATTAACTATCAATTGCATAAATAATTGGGTCACTCTCACTTTAAGAATATACAACCTGACAAAAATTGAAATTTACAAAGTTTAATTATTTGCTTTGCCAAATGTTTTTCATAGGCATTTTAAAAATTGCTTTCGGATAGTAAAATCATCTTAAATATATGATTAAATCTATAAAAGATTGATTTACACATTAGAAGATTCTATATCCATTACATAAAATAAGATGAATGTATAGTAAACATACTTTTAAGAATGGGCTACAAATCAGCCATATCAGAAACCACAGTGGGATAAGGACCATACATACCTTCATCCTGCCAGCCCAGCCCAGGGCCCACTTATTCCTACTGCTTTGGACTTAATTACGTGCCTCCAACTATGTCTAGCAAATTTATATGTCTATAGTTATAATCCCATTTGCCAATGGGTTGTCTCTGTTTTGTTAATAATCTGGATTAGTGGGTGCGTTTTATATCAATCTTTTTTAATGAACAAAAAAATTAAACAAAGGAATGAAGGAGCCATGGGAGAGATAAGATAAAAAGGTGACAAGATATATGGAGATCTCTAAGGAAGCAAGAAGCAGAAGTGGAAGAAACAGGACCTTCATCCAGAACTGAGAGTGTCAGCACTCTGAATGTAAACTTCTAGCTTTCTGGATTGTGAGAAAACAAAATTCGGTCGATTAAAGCCACACTTTATCGTATTTCTGTTGCAGCATCACTAGATAACTAAGACAGAATCTGGTACTGAGAGTTGAGTGGTGTTCTAATTCTGGTGAAGGCTCAGAAGGAAGTGCGTATAGAATACACGTGGCACCAACAATAGAATGTTGCCATACATGTAGATGACTGAATGTGTTTCTAGTGATGCTTCAAAGGAAAATACTGAACATGTGATTGATCAATAGAGAAAGGGTAGTACTCTTTATGTTATGACAAAAAACTTGTCTACATAGTGTTCAAATGTTTCTGGAAGGAAGAATTTGTAAGGGATTAATTGATATGATCTGGCTAATGAAATTTCTAACCAAGATCTTAAACAGGGCATATGATTTCTCCTTGCTGCTTAGAGTGAAATGTGAGAGAGGGGGAAAATAGACTTAAGCATTAACTGTTCTTAAGGAAAACCGAACTTAAAAACAGAAAATTCAGTTGTACAAATTAAGATCGAGTGTCCTAGTTTTTCCCCAAGGATGCAGCTACACAATCTTTTCTTAAAAATATTAAGCAGATTATATTTAAATATTTTTTCATTATCTTCCATGACTTAGGAACCTGCATACATTCAGAGACATGAAAGTGTGTTAATTGTTTGAGGGGAGATGTTGGTACTTGATTTGTTTCAAGGTAATGATCAATAAGATCTTTTTCTAATGTTGCCTTCATGAGACACCCAGCCCCAAACAATATCTTTACATGTCATGAAATATTTAAGTCAGCCTTTTTATCCACTTCAGAGTTACAAAGCACTGATAGGGATTTTTTTTTTAAAAACATAGTTTATGTAATTTAGTTTGGCTTTAGTAGTGATCCTCAGACTAATTTTGTACTCCTAAGAACCTTTGAATTTGTTGCTCAGATAACAACCTGAGTAATACTTGTATTAGACCTGTACATTTAGGGATAAACTCACAGTTAGGCAGAATATGGTCTACTTTCTACGTTTGTTTCAAATATTAATAAACATATGTTAAGTTTTAAAAAAGAGAGAGAGATTAAGCAGAAAACTCATCAGTTTATATTGAAGGAAGCAGAGAAAGAACAAAGAAAAGAATGTTGTCTGCCTCTTGGGATTCTACAAGCAGGATACAGGACAAAGGAGCAACAAGGAGTAACCCCAAACCAAAGCAAACTCACTGCCACCGAGTGCATGCCGACTCATAGCCACCCCACAGGACAGGGTAGAACTGCCTGTGAGTCTCGGAGACTGTTAACAGGAGTAGAAAACCCAGTCTTTCTTCTGCGTTGCTGCTGATGGTTTTGAACTGCCAACCTGTGGCTCAAAGTCTAACACATAACCACCATGGAGATGCAGTGAGGCCTTCTCTGTTTCAAAGGGTGGAGCCAGGGTCTCCTGGATCTCAAAGGATGGGACCAGTCTCCCAGATTTCAAAAAACTAGATCTTAGCTAACTTCTGGAGGAGGAGGCTAGAGCATGGGGCTGTCCTGGGCAAGGCGTGCTGAGGAAGCAAGGTATACTGAGGGAATGAGCTTGCTATAACCAAGATAGGGAGAGGAAGGCAGAGGATGTGGCCAGCTGGAGCCAACAAGGCCTGGATCACCAATCAGATGGATGAGGAGAATGGGGTTACCTACAGCTCAAGGAGCCGAGCTGTTAGCCCAGTAGACCAAGAAGGTGGAGTTAACACCCAGAGCTGAAAGGTCTTTATCACAAAACTAGAGGACATAGCTAGCAATACCTAGAGCCTGAAAAGAGGTTAATAACTCGGTTTCAAATAAGAGAGGGTTATTTCTCAAACCTTGAAAGTTAAAATGACTTATTTGTTCGGCAAGGATATGGATTTGCTGGGTGCCTACGATCCCTCTTTCCCTATATTTTCTCCCATTGGTCATGGGAACAGGTTCCACCACTACACTTTGGAAACAGAAAACCTGTATTCTAGATTTCACCATTCACAGATGGAGAGGAATTTTGCTTTAGTTTGGAGTATGCCCAAAATCGAACCCTATTTGACTTAAATGGTTCAGAAGATCAGATTTGGGACTTACAGTTGATTTACTTTTGAGATGATGTGCTAGGGTGAGTTTTTAATCACGTGGCAAGGACATGAATTTGGGGTAGGAGGCAAAGATTGAATTATGTTCCCCATAAATATGTGTTAAAAATTATTATTTCTATGCCTGCAGTTAAAATCTCATTTTGTGAAAGCTTGGTTTTGTTATTTGTCAATCTCTTTTGAGATTTCAAAGATTAAATATGCAATCAGAGGAGAGACGGGGTAAGATAGATGCTAAGACACAGTGAGTTCTCCGGAATGCAGAAGTGAAAGAGACAAGAACTGTCCTCGAAAATTGAGAGAGAGAAAAAGCCTTCAGAATGCTAGCCTCCAAAATGGTAAGCAAAGAACTTTCTGATTGTTAAAGCCGCCCACTGACAGTTCGAACAAGACCAGGTAACCAGGACATCTACCACCATGCTGAAAGGGCGATAGGGTTTTGATGCCCTGCTGTTTTAAAAACACAAAGTTAGAAGCTAAGTGATAGAAAATTTTTTATTATTAATAAATATTTATTTATTTTGTGTTTTATTTATTTATTATGCCGGAGATAGAAAATAATATTTGCTAATTTAAGCACAACTTCTACCTTCCCACAAAAACCCGATGTCAAACTAATGAGGTTTTATTGCATCAATAGTATAATTAAGTGCTTGTGAATAACCAACAAATACTTTAGGTTTCGCAAATTTAAGGCATCATATTGCAAAAACAATATATATAGAAATTGGTTGATTAGAATTTAAATTAAAATATATTAATTCAACGAGGATAAACAGTCAAAGTGTGTTCTTTCAGAAAAAGACAAAGGATAAGCCTAGGCTGAAAGAGGAGCTTAAAAGAAAAAGTATTTGAGCAAGAGAGGATAAGTTAAAACAGGCCAAATTAAAGAGTGTGATAAGTATTTCTTAATTAAGTGTGCATCTCACACTGAAGACACATTGAAAACAAAGGTAAGCAGCACCCAGGGTGCCCAACCACAAATGGGGGTTTGTCCACCACTATTTGCTATTAAACACACACGTCAGATTACGTACAATGCACAGTGAGGTTGACCGAATCTTGATCTTCTCCTACAATGTTTTCTGCCACACAAGAGATTTGCTTTCCACTGTCATCAGATGAAATGTTACTTATCCTTAAGGAGCCCTGTGTGTGGTTGGTTTCGTTCTGCAAATGAATTAACAGACAAAAATAATTTAGATTAGGATTGATTTCAAAGTGACAAGATTTGGGGCTTCTTCCCCCCCAAAATAGTTATTTTCTAATGTTATATATATATGTATGCAACACTGACACTGAGTTGATCCCGCCTCCTGGTGACCCTAGGTCGCTGAGACTGTAAATCATCAAGCTTTATGGAAGCAAAGAGTTTCATCTTATTCTCAAAGCATGGCTGATGGATTTGAAAGGAGTAAATAAGAAGTTACTCTGGTTCTCATAAGTTTTTACTGCTTTACTTAATGCCTAAAATTGTACTCCTTGAGTTCCTACCTACCTACTCTCAAGGGAAAAGACCCCCAGGAGAGTCTCTCCCCTGACTAATGAAGTCCCAAAGAAATCATTAGGAATATAGAGGTTCTCCAAGCTCAAATGCAAACCTGCATCTATCTTTGTTTAAAAGGGCAAATAGAAAGCAAATGTAAATAAAAAACTCATCTTCAATTTCTCTAAAATATGAAATGTTCATCACTTCAAATTCAGATACACTCTCATAGTCTCTTTATTAACACTGAAGCAGACACAAGCCTTACCAGATGTTTGGAAACCAGATTACCAACATCCCAGTACATATTTGGAGCTGGATCACCGGCCACGCTGCAAGACAAGGTTATAGACTTTCCTTCCTCCACAGTTAGGTTAGGTGCGGCCAAATTTGCTGATGGCAAGCCTGTGGATAAAGAAGAATAAACTGAAACATATACAAATAGTTAAATGCAGTTCAACTTTTTTTTGCAAAAAAAATGAAAATGCAGTATTCTGTGTATTAAAATCAATCATTATTTACTTTCTGAGACTGATTTATGCTGAACTGAGAAAGCTTCAGGTTGATAAGCTTAACAGACATAATGTGACGTCACCAAAAAATGTTTGGTAATAAAACCTGAAAATGAATTTCACACAATGATTTAAAATGTTATTGCAGAATAGTCCTTTATTTAAAAAGAGAACATTTTTATTTATTGTGAATTGGGTGAAACTTTAGAGAGTAAATCAGTTTCCTATTCGACAATGCAGATACGTTTTGTTTCCGGTCATTGATTGCAATCCCCACATCCCACTTCTTCCCAGTGTTTCCTGTTTCCACTCCTCCTCTCTTAACCCTTTCTGCCCTCTGAACTTTATCTCTGGACAAATGCTGCCTCCTTGTCTCCAAGGGCTGATGGTTCTAAGGCAGGTCTCCTCCCCCAGTGCCATTGTTCCCCTCGTGGACTTCTCCATTTTCTTGGCTGAAAGCTGAGCCACAGCGGTAAAGTCACCTCTCAGTCTGAATGAAGAGTGAACGAAGGCTAGGGTCTTGGGGTTCCACTAGTCTCTATCTGACCAATAAATGTGATGTTTGCTATGATTTTGAGCTTGTTCCACGTTTTCTCTCACTCTAACTAGGACTTTCTAATGTAAATCCTTTTAGAGCAGCTCATAGCAGTATCTAGGCACCCTCAAATTCTACAGGGTAAACAAACACTATTGTACAAAACTCTTGTCCTCTGCTTTGCTTCTACTGTTCCACGGTTACTAATCCAATTCTGTGCACCTGAACACTCTATGGAGTTACATCTTATTTATTTTCCCCTCCCTCCCCATTCATTTCTTTTAAATAATCTCAGTTATCTAGTGTTTCCATAAGAGAAAAATCACAAATCGGAGGTCTTAATGAACAGAAATGGATTCGTTGGCCATTTAGAAAGCTAGACATCCAAACTCATGGCATCAGCTCTCAGCTTCTCTTCCTGTTGGCTCACAGCTTAGGAGGCAAGTCCTTTTCTCCATTCACTCTCTGTAAGGCCCAGTGTCACTTAAAGAGCTCTGCGTGTCTCGGCATCAATCTTATCCTGGATCTAACAGGTTCCCAGAGCAGGAATTTGGGTCCAAATGGCATGCTCAGGTCCCCAGCTCCTCTTCCCTGGAGTACTGAGGTCATTCTCTCTCCTTTCGTCTTATAAGACAGTCAGTGGGGTAGGCCACAGACCGTAGAGCTCTGGTAGCATAGTGTATTATGTATTGGGCTTACACAAGATCAGCAGTTCGAAGCCACCAGCTTCTCTGAGGGAGAAATTTCTGCTCTCAAAGATTTACAGCCTTGGAAGTGGCATGTCTACGCTGTCCTATAGGGTTGTTATGACCGCTGATGACTGTGAGTTGAGTTCTGAGACCACACTCCAGGGGAAATCCCCTTACATCAATTCAGTGTGTGACAGCACTGAAGGTATTACCTCTCACGCTTAATTCTCTTATAATTTACTGGCTTATGTCAAATCGTACCAAGGAGGATCGTTACATAAAGGCCAAATTCCATCATTTCAACCCTCTGAGAATCATAACCCAGTCACATACTTTGAGGGGACACAATTCAATCCCATCATCGTGTTTGCTGACATGGAGGACCAGCAGGGGTGTGCTCAGGGAGACAGCTTGCCCCCACAGGTTCAGTGATGGCCTCAAACACCCTCATCATTGTGAGGAGGGCACAGGCACAGGAAGCATTCCGTCTTACTGTACCCAAAGCCAGAATGTAGTGTGTCAATAGAATCAACTCAACAGCAGGTAAGAACATCAGCAATATTGCCATTGCCTAGGCATTGAGGAGACCAGGTATTCTTGCCTAGTGCTTTAAATTACTGCTTTATTCACGCCTTGCCATCAATCTTGAAGTTAAGTGCTTTTGTTTTCATTTAATTAATGAAGAAGATGAGTTTTGGAGAAGTCTGCTCATCTTGTTAGATGCCCCAGTACATGTAGACATGTAGGGTCTTCACTACTCCCCTACTTCCACAGGTTGCCCTGATCCATTTTAGCAAAGACCATAAATACCATCACAGAACCTGGATCTAAGAATTAGTCCATTTAAACTATAATTATATGTCTGTTTGCGGGGGAAGAGTGAGCTGCCTTTATTTATAGTGGTAGTGTATCACCCTGTCATTGTTGTTTCCAAGGGAATCTGTGGGAAATGGGCCAAGTCTAGATCTTTCCAATGTAAAGCCTTCCACAAATGAGTAAGCATCTGACTCACATTAATTCTATAGCATTAATATGCTGGCCAAAGATTCAGCAATGGGAAAAACAAGCTGTACTTGAAATATCATACGAGGTTTAATTAACACACTAAAAATGAATTGGGAAACATGAATAGCCAAGGCAGGATAAACCATTTGCCAGGCACTATTTCCTGTCTTAATAAGATTTCAGATTACCACAAGTACAGAGAAAATGCCCCAGCAATACTTCTAAAAGATTCTAAGCCCTGCTGTAATGGAATCCTCTTCTAAGGACCATAGCTGTCTTCCTTTGCACTCAGTGGAGGTAAGAGATGATCATCTTCCCAGACAGACACATGCCTTCTTGTCAGCATTGCTTACTCCAAGTTTGTTCAGGAGAAGTATATTATAGCCTAGACCTCAGCAGAAAATTATCAATCATGCAGTGAAAAAGCTGAAGTTCTTGTGCACATGGACCACCAGGAGACCTTGTTACAAATGAAATTTCTTCTTCAATAGGTCTGGGGGAGGTCTTAAGGAGTCCTAGTGGTGCAATGAGTTAAACATTGGACCTCAGTTTAAACCCACTAGTTGCCCAGCAGGGGAAAGGGATGGCAGTCTGTGTTTGAAAAGATTCACAGCCTCAGAAAACCCTATGAAGCTGTACTCTCCTATAAAGTCATTCTGAGTTGGAATTGACTGAGTGGCAGTAGGCTTAGTTTGGTGTGGAGCCTGAAAGGCTGCCCTCTTATATATTCCCAGGTGATGAGGATGCTCCTGTTCTATAGACCACACTTTCAATACCAATGGTTTAGACAAGTCTTGGACAATTGTTCACTAAGCTCTTGTTTTCACAGCAGTTATTCTGAAACCTGAAAGGGACCTAGGCAGTTACCAAGTGCTAATGTCCCCCAAAGTATGTTCTGTGGCATGCCAATTCCTTGATATACTTCAAACAACAACAACAAAAGGATCCAATACTTTTTTAAATCAAAATCTATCATGAATGCTTTCAATTTGGGGCATTCACAATGCACAGTAACTCATTGGTATCATATTGATTCTGATTCCCAGGGACCCTATAGGGCAGAGTAGACTGTCCCAGTGAGTTTCTGAAGCTGTAAATCTTTAAAGGGGCAGACAGTCTTATATTTCCCTCAAGAAGTGACTGATGGGTTTGAACTGCTGACTTTTCAGATAGCAAACTGCTCATGCACTAAGCCACCAAGACTCCTACAAGGGTCATCACTACATTGAAAGTTCTGAGAAGTCCTGAAGTGAAGAAACCCATTGGATCTGATTTCCCAAGAGTATTTGAATATACAACCACTTCTTTGAGTTCTGATGGCTCATTATGCCTTTGTTATTTTCATTTGAACTAGTTTGTCAAAATTCAAGATACACACGTTTTAATTCAGAGATGAAATACATTTAAAGTTAGATATCATATTGATGATAGCAATATTGTTAATCACTAATATTAGTTGAATACTTAATATGCATTAGCCCTTAATCTTAAAGACTTTCCATATATTATCTTCTTAGCCATCCAGAAAGTGTCACTAGTATTCCTAGCCCCAGATGAAGAAATTAAAGTTTATCAAGTATGACAACTATACAGCTAGTAATGGGAGCTGGCCCCAATCGACATCTTTGCACCCAGTCTTAGCCAATATCTTTATAAGACATCTTCTTTGTTGGAGACATCTAGCCTCCTCCATTAGAGGACACATCTCAAGAGGTGGTCAAGTATTGTTACTAAGGTGCCAGTTTATATATGCACAAGTTGAGTCCAATCAAAACACATTTAAATATATCTCTGTGATCAAGGGATGGCTACCAACAAGTTCTTTCAGTAATATATTCATCTTAGTAGCCTTAAGGTGCCTTTTAAAACAAAGGTCCAACCAAAACCATGGCTTCCAAGGGCCATTAATTTCAAAGTAGAGAGGTCAACTCCGGTTGTCTGGCTACTAATTTTGGAGATACCAAAGGACACAAGTGAAGGACACAAGACAATCACAGGAGCTTATCTGGAAGAAGTTTCCAGGAAACGGAAAACTGCATTGGTGAGAAAAACACCAGAAAATTATGACTAAAGAATTGTTTTTGCCACCAAGACAACGTATCTGCTCATTTTTCAAGGGCGGCAAAGACTGATCTTTGAGAATGCCATTGAGCAAATTTACCCTGTCCACCCTACAGCCCTGATCTTGCCTCCTTCAGACTTTTTGTTCTTTTCAACACTCAAAGAAGGTTTCAAATGAACACAATTTGAGTCCCTCAAGGATGCCAGAATCGGTGATTGATATGCTGTAAACTGAAGAGCCCAGAGTGTTCCTGGGAAAGCTCACCTCGTGGCCATTGAGTCAATTCTGACTCCTGTGCAGAGTAGGCTTGCCCTTTGGGGTTTCTGAGGCTGGAATCTTTATGGTCAGGAGTGGACAGCCTCATCTTTTCCCCAAGGAGCACCTGCCTGCTGGTTTCATTCTGCTGATCTTGCATTAAGCACCCTAACTCATAACCCACCATGCCACCAGGGCTCTTCAGGGAAGAGATGGAAATACTTCCTCAGAGACACACATGCCTAGATGAGGACATGTTCTGAAACAACTTCAAATGTTGTTATTTTTGTTTAATGGCCAAATAGAACTGCCACAGAATGCTTTCCTATGATTTTGTAGCAATACTT